CTGAAGTCTAATGAAATTGAAGTGGACTAATATACTATCCGAACCTTTGTTTCTTATTGGGCCTCATAAAGCCCAAATATCCCCATAAACTTCCTTCCATATACACACATCCCTCCTTCTTCTTCCCAAACCCTACCGAGTCCCACAAAAATCTCTGAAATTTTCTTTCAATGGATTCTCTTGAATCAAATCCCAAAGTCGAAGAAGAACCAATTCTCCAAACCGAAGAAGAAACAGAAGCAAATCCCAAATTCGAAGAAGCAGCTGAACCAAATCTCAAAGTCGAAGAAGCAGCAGAATCAAATCCCAAAGTCGACGAAGTAGCAGAAGCAAATCCCAAAGTCGACGAAGTAGCAGAAGCAAATCCAGAAATCGACGAAGTAGTAGATGCAAATCCCGAAATTGAAGAAGAAGTTTCAGTTTTGCTTCCCGACGACATTACCGGAACCGTTCTTCCGCCTGGAATCAATGATTCGGTACCACATGAGTCGTCATTCGCTGCAATGGAGGAACAAATCGATGTTGATTTGGAGAAATTAGAAGAACCCAAGGATGGTGATCGACCCGGATCCGAATTAAAGATCGAATCCGACTCATTCTCTGAAGAAGATCCAACTGCTTCTTCCTCTGATAATAACCCAAAATCTCCAAAACCAGAAATCGTAGCTACCCAGATCGGTAACGCAATGGAAGTAGACGAAGAGGAAGATGAACTACCACCTAAGAAGCAAAAGCAATTAGCTTCTCTTACTTCACTCGCCGTTAAGGAAGAGGAAGCTCAGCCATCGGAAGCAATGGTAGTGGCGACGACTACGGTTGTGAATGCTGTGAAGAAATCGAAATCGAAGAAGAAGAACAACAATGTATGGGTTACTAAGAGCACACGTAAAGGAAAGAAGAAGAGCAAAACCAATACACCGAATTCAGTTGCTGTAGAAGATAAGGTACTGATCACTCCGGTTCCTAGGTTTCCTGATAAGAGTGACGATACACCGGATTTGGAAATTTGTCTTTCGAAAGTTTACAAAGCTGAGAAAGTTGAGATTAGTGAAGATAGACTTACTGCAGGAAGTAGTAAAGGTTATAGAATGGTGAGAGCTACTAGAGGAGCTATAGAAGGAGCTTGGTACTTTGAGATTAAAGTTGTGAATTTGGGTGAGACTGGTCATACACGACTCGGTTGGTCGACTGATAAAGGAGATTTGCAGGCTCCGGTAGGGTACGATGGGAATAGTTTCGGGTTTAGGGACATTGATGGGTGTAAGATTCACAAGGCTTTAAGAGAGAAGTATGCAGAGGGAGGGTATAAAGAAGGTGATGTTATTGGATTCTACATAAATCTACCTGATGGTGAATCGTTTGCTCCAAAGCCACCTCATTATGTGTGGTATAAAGGACAGAGATATGTCTGTGCACCTGATACGAAAGAGGAGCCTCCAAAAGTTATACCAGGTATGGTCTGCGTTACTTATTTGTCCAAGTTTCGTGTTCTTGTCGTTTCTCTCGTGGATTTAGTTAGTCGCATATGTTAAGTGGAGTAAAATGCTTATGCATGTTGTTGCTTGTGACAGTAGAGAGTTTTTTGGATTTGGTAGAGAATAGATATGTGGTTACATTCTTATAGATAAAGAACTCTTTATCACAATTCACATGGCTAAACGCCTGAATTTCAATTTTGCTACCCTCCACACATATGATGTTGATATTTTATTTTTATGACCAACCTTTTGTTAACGAATGCCTTGCTTCTGATGCAGGAAGTGAAATATCGTTCTTCAAAAATGGTGTATGTCAGGGAGTTGCTTTCACTGATCTTTTTGGAGGTCGTTACTACCCTGCTGCTTCTATGTACACTCTCCCTGACCAGTCAAATTGTGTTGTGAAGTTCAATTTTGGCCCTGATTTTGAAAATTTTCCCGAGGATTTTAGTGGGCGCGCGACCCCGAAGCCCATGTGCGAGGTTCCCTATCATGGATATAATGGTAGACTTGAAAATAATGGTTCTGATGATATGAAGAGTTAGGCAGAACCGGCAGGCGTATTCTTGACATTTTTAACAGTTTTCCAAAACTAGATAGTTCAGATTTAGTTGGGTTGGTACGAATTACGATCATAGGAATAGCAAATGAACAAATGAGTTCTGTACATGTCTGATCTGATACACTGGAGATCAGGCTGGTTTTTTCTGATTTTCTGAAATGGATGTTGTTCTTTCCGGATTAGCCATATTCGTCAAAAGTTATCGATTGTTTGTTGTTTTCCCTTTACATGTAACTTTTCTGGTAGTTTATATCTTGCTTTTCTTCAAAGGTTGTAAACTTGACATTTTTGCCTGGTATACTTTCAAAAGTTTGAAGCATCTCGTTGAATTGTTCATTATCTGTTCGATCTTCCTAGAACAGACGCCTTTGGGAGCTTACTTATGTTAGTTTTGATTCTATCCCTTGCTAGCTATATGCCACAAGAGGAGAATTCTTGGAATTGAGTAATCAAAGTAAATTAATCTTGCACAACTCAAAGACTCTGGAGTAGGTAGGATCTAAATCCTGAAGTCAAATATGCCTCGTGGAAAGTTTTCCTCCCGTTAATGTGTTGCGCAGCTTTTAAGATGTGTGCTTACCGGTGTTATCAAACAATGACTACCTTTCTACTGTCAGGTAATACGTTTCTCTATCGACTCATGTTTTCCTGTAGGGGCTGTTAGCGAAGGAAATGTCTTACTTGATTTACCTAGATTTTGTGGTCTGCCGATATACTCTCTTGAAGAAGTGCATGCGTATGGCATCTCTTCTAATCTGAGAACTTAGCAATACTCTTCTCTTTTTAGTAATTCAGTTGTTTTGGGAAATTGATGTATCCCTGATTACTTCCATCCACAAGTTAAATAGTTCTCAATAGTCAGAATGATAATATCTCTTTTTTTTTTTTTCTTACAAAACAGGCTACAAAGAGACTAGTAGTTGGCATTGTGAGATATATATGGACCTCTGGTATAAAGGCGAGAAACATATCTATCTTCCACGCATGGAAATTGCGTCCTGCTGTGTATGCTTCTAATACAGTGGAGAGTTCAGTCCTTCTTGAGAAGAGAGAGCTTGGTGAACGTGGTATCGCTTGGAAGGGAAAGGTGTCATTCTCCTGAAAGAAGGCCTTTTTTGGATACGGCTCAGAGTTCTCTTTGTGTATAGCATGTGAATCATTGGGAAAAACTTTTCCTTAAACTTGAGGATGGCGAAGAAGAGAAGCCTATACGCAATGAGAATCATCATCACTACAACTAGATCCACCCACTTGGAGTGTGCTGGATTTACGCCTAGAAGGGTTTGAAGAATGACCTCCCCTTTCATTTTTGGTGCCAAAGGAAATAGAGGATCATACTCAACCCCGATCATCTCATTCTTGAATGCTCCCTGCAATTGTTCAGGTGTGCCCATTTAAAATATCTATTTGCCAATATGAATCTGCATGTTAGTGTTGTGAGAACCTGGTTACCTGTAGTGCCCATGCGCCATAGTTTATGTATGACACCGGGTATCGCCAGAACACCACAGGTAAGTCGGGGAACAGTCGGAAAAAACCCGCAGTCAACACCATAATTCCCTGTGGCATGAAGAGTATAGCGGTTTTCGATTTACAATAGTCTTTGGAGATAGAAAAAAAACTTTTAGGCGAGAGAGACACTGATAGCATTCTTACAATGTAGCCAGCTCCTAGCATGACTCCCATCAAGAAGTTAGGAACTAGTGAAGCTATCATCATCATGCAACTCTCCACGGTTGCAATTGCACTGATGAGGTCGAGACAGTTGTAGGAAAAATGAGAAGCTGAGGATTGGAACTTCACCATGTAGTTAATGATTGAGGTGGTAGCGAGGCACATTAAGATTATGAAAGGCAATGAGGAGAGGAAGTTAGACACAGTGTATACTGCAACTCCATAGTATCCATTGAGCCTTTCCCGAGAAAACACCTGGTTTTTGGAACAATATGTTAAAACATAGAGATACATTTAGGGGAAAGAGTGGAAGTTTGGTGTTAGCTCTTTACCTTCATTTCTTCAATGAAGGATTGGAAACCTCCTATTGACATAAATGTCATGAAACCTGCCATGAATCCGCCACAAGCTGCAGTAGTCATGGCATTTGTGTGGTTTTTTCCGACGTTGAAAAACACTGACCCGACACAGATGGATAACACGATGTAGACTGCAATCCGTATCCAGTAGTAGCCCAAGTCTCTACACATGTTGATGAAAGATCGCTTAGTGAGTATTCTGAGTTGTTTCCACCAGTTTGTTTGACTCCCGTTTTTCCTTTCAGTGTCAAGTCCCTTCTGTTGCATCATCATGAGAAGTTTAAATGTGCTTGTGAGACTCTATGATTGTGTAATACATTGTAGTTGTAAGGAAAATAGTAAGCCATAACTTACGATTGATATTATTTCTTGAATTCTTGCTCTTGAAGCTGCTGCGTACTCTGAACGCTTGAATTTCCTGACGAGTGTTGTTCTGATTTCTGCTGTTGGTATGTCATTCAGGGGATCTAATGTGTTTGATGTTTCATGTAGTTGGTAAAGAGAGAAAGAAGACTCCTGCAGAGGGAAAAAGTGCAGACGTGAAGAGCCTGAGTGTTAACATAAAGATACAAGAAAACAAAAGAGATGAAGAACACTAACGTGGATTCTCCGAGATTCTATCAAAGTTGCTGTGATATCATCGAAATCTGAGTTGACACAACGAAGGAAGTGGTCAGATGGATTCCTTCTGCTAGGACATGGAAAACCCGCCTCACCGAAAAACTGCAAAGTCAGAAGCAACAACACAAATGAGCATGATGGTGTTTATATACAAAATCCTCTTGGTATAAACTCTTTCGAAATGCTATTATTTTACCTTTGATGCAGATTGTGCTTCTCCAAAGTAAACAGTTTCTCCTCCAGACAGAAGTAGCAAGTCATCAAAGAGCCCGAACACCTCACCACTCGGTTGATGGATTGAAGAAATCACGGTTTTTCCACTGCTAGCTATGTTTCTAAGAATCTGAACCACAAAGAAAGCCGAAGCACTGTCCAATCCACTCGTCGGTTCGTCTAGAAAGAGGAGACTTGGTTTAGTTAAGACCTCGAGCGCAATACTCAGCCGTTTCTTCTCTCCTCCGCTTATTCCGCGCATATGCCAATTCCCAATAGTCCTATCTGAACATTCTTGCAGACCCATCTCAGTGATTGTAGCTTCCACAATGTCACTTATCTCTTTTCGAGTTAGCTTTGATGGGAGCCTGAGATGAGCTGAGTAAGCTATTGATTCTCTCACTGTTAAAGTTCCTAGCAGCACATCTTCTTGTGTCACATAAGCCTGAGTTACTCAACAGTTTCAAAAGAGGAAAGAAACATTTATGATTTAGTGTTTAGGACATGAATTTAGAAGAGTTTGACTGTATAAGAAAAAGGATTAGATTTGCTTACAGAAGCACCAAAGTCAAGCCTTCTCTTCTTGCCATTGACAAGAACTTTGCCACTCATCACAACATTACCAGCTAATCTTCCTGTAATCATTATCATGTAAATTTTTCTTGATGTTATAATCATTCATGTTTTGAATAATCTTCTTGATAGCAATGATAGAGAATAAGGAATGTTCATGCGGGTTTAATGCGGTTTAATATTTACAAGAGATTTCAATTCGGTTCAACTCCAGGTTTAAGCGGTTTAGTGTTTACAAGAGACTCCAATTTCGGTTTTACTGTTTGAAACCGTACCAAAAAACCGGATCGTGCAATCCTAAATTTTTGTGTCAGGTTTGTTGGTGATTGGTAGTTGGTTAACATTTAAAATCATTAGTTAATAAGAAAAGTCACTGCAAATATTCTTTAAAGGGTATATGTTAGAGAAATGTAGCTATCAAATTTAGTTCAATATTAAATTTTAATATGGAACATGGAAATTGCAATGACCTATATAATAAAGGAAAAAAAGTTTATATAGGTCATTAATAAATATAAAAAGTTTTTTTTTGTTTTTGAAAAAGTTGAAAAAAAAGTTGGTAGTTAGAATCA